CAGAATAGTTGGAATTTTGTAACGTGTCATACCTTTGCTGCATGAATATTAGTATGCTGCACCTTGCTTCCAGACTCACGTTTCAAGGAGTCCTCTGCCCAATGTCAGCAAACATTTTTGATGAGCGAATCGATACAAAACGACATGCTCAAAACGCACCAAAGAAATCCTATCTTAATTTATTCAACGAACAAAATCAGGTACAAGCAATGCATGGAGGTTCAGCTTACCACAGGACAAAAAAAATGAAATATAATCGAAGGGAAATAGTACATTATTTTTCATTTCCTAATTTCATACAGGTACATTATTTGGATCAATTCAATTATCCTAAAATCATTACAGTGCATGCAGGTAACTGTAGATAGAAACGGCAGCGTAGTTGTGACGTGTTGTTATGCAAAATGAGATGATGCAAATGCATTTATGAAGAAAGCGAATCCAGGAAAGAGAAAGAGAGAAAGAAGTTACTGAGAACTAGAACCGGCGAGTGCATGATTTGGAGGTTGGCAGAAACGCTGCAGTGACGCGGTTTCAGTTAGAAGATTAAAGAACAGTTGAAAAGAGGCACGAAGAGTTGAGATGAGAGAGAATGCATGTGAAGTAGCTTACCTGGTAACTGGTAAGGAGCGCTCGCTAGGGTTTGGAGGAAAGCGATGATGGGTTTAACAATTAACAGGTTCGTACGTTACAGAGTGAGAGAACACACAAGAGTCGAGTCGAGTCGAGACTTCCGCCAAAATATGCTTTACACCCAAAAACCTCCAATACTTTCGCCTTTTTTTTCTCATTTTTTTTTATTTTTTTTATTTTTGGGTAAAAGACATTTATTTATTTTAATTTGATTTGATTCTTTTGTGTTTATTGGTATTGATAAAGTTTTTTTTAATGCAGCAGGGTCTAATTAGTTGATCAAGATGCGTGAGTAATGTAAATATTTTGGTCTTGATCGACAAAAATACACTCTGTGGATTAGTTTGTTGATTGTTTATGGCCAAGGGCTTGTTGCTTTCTACTAGGATTTAGTGACTTGTAGACAAAATCACTCATGATGTATAACTTTTTTAAGTAGTTTAATTTGTTTGCTTGTTACTACTTGGTTTAAGTCAGTCCAAAGTAATTTTTAGTTTTAAAATTTTTAATTTTAATTTTTTTATCCGTTTGTCATGATTGTTATATTTAATAAAAATCTATTATTAACGGAAAATTAGCTTACTAGAACATTCAATGTTAAATGAGAGAACGTGACATATATATATAATATGAATATAAGAGTAAAATATATATATTAACATGGACAAAATATATACACATATAAATAATAATCCAAAAATAATAATGTCTTAATGTCTCTCGAACACAATTATACAAGTTACATGCAGTAGCATCGTCACCAACAAAAAAATAACACCTCAACAACAATTCCTTAAGTTTGTTCGTAGTATGCTCTCACACAATGTATGATTATCATAGTTTAAACTACAATAGAAATAGAAAGATAAGATAAAGTTCAAAAATATATAAATATAAAAATAATTATATAATATACAACATCACACCATAATCATACATAAAAGTTATAACACTTCAAGCAAACATGTATTTTACCCAAATCATGTCACACAAGACATCAACAATGCATATGAACGCACATCTCAACACCCATCATATGTAAACACGTTAATTAATGTCTCATCACACATTCACCTACGGAACTCTCTTAAAAACATGAGCAGTCTAAATGATTTTCTCCCAATCAAATCAATACAATCGTTTCCACACCCAAAGCGTTAACTTGATCATAGTAAAATGGGATAGCAATCCCTCCTCTAGTTTCTCGAGTCTCATCACTTACACTAGAAAAGTCCAGATCCACTATTAGGAGTGGTATAACCATTATAGGCATACCACGACTTTAACATACATTACTAAGTCACATGTGGAGTTAGTTCACTAGTCATCCTCAAGGAACCACACAACCTTTTCAGGTACTTAATTAAGGGTTATAGTCATTAACCTCTTACCTTATTCAACCAGCTAATTAAGAACCTAAAGAAGACTTGACACACCTCAAAAACCTACTTAAGAGACAAACCTACTCAATGAAGGTTTTCCAATAGTGGTCTACCCAAGTACCACCCCAAGATACCCTATGTGAGGTTTTTAATTTTCAAAATAATTTTCTTTTCTCAAGTCCTAAATTAGCCAACATGTTTTAATGTCATACCACATTCTTAACATTCACACCTCACCATACATCATCCATATGCATCACATCTAGTCAATACATACGGAGATCAACAAGAACATCATATGCAAGACATATAAATGCTCTTCAAAATCATACATCATACATATGTACAACATACATATGCTTATCATTATCCAACACCATACAAACATCTACATATATCGTATTCAACCAACATATGTAGAACCAACATCATACACCATACAACATGTAATAGAACTAAAAACATTTATTCATGTTCATCATATAACATGTATCAACATACAATTTATCCGAATCAGCTAGCATATAATGACAATCTTCACATAAAATAATACATAGGGAGCTCTAATACTCCAATAAAACTCATCTTTTATCTCATATGAAAGCTAAAAAGTTTTTCTACAACTCTTATGAAGACTTTAAGTTCTAACTCCATCATCCATTATACTGAAAATCACAAAAATTGTAATAATTTGCCTAAATGCTAACAACTCAACCTTTACTCACTAAAAATGTCATATTTAGAGTTTTATACCTCTTTTTTAGGTGATTCAAAAGTCATTGCCAAGCTAACATTTAAGATTACAACTTTCATGGAGACCATAAAAAGAAAATTTAGCCATCTACTTGCTTAAACAAGTAAATCTTTTGCTTAAGCGAGGTCAACTTGCTCGAAGCGACCAACAACTCACTTGGAGTGACCAACAGTTCACTCTAAGCGACCAAAATTTGGTCAAAGTGCCCAAAACTCGCTTGAAGTGACCCAAGTTAGAGAACATCTTTGAGAAACCACTCAGGCTCGCTTTGAGTGGCTAACAACTTGCTCTAAGCGACCAAAATTCGCTCAAAGCGCTTAAAAACTCGCTCTAAGTGACCCAAGTCAAAGAGCATCTATAAGAAACCACCTAAGCTCGCTTGGAGCGACCAATAACCCACTTTAAGTGACCAAAATTGCTCAAAGCGCCCAAAAACTCGCCCTAAGCAACCTAAGTTAGCAAGCATCTTTAAGTAACCACCCAGGCTCGTTTGGAGTGATCCCCATGGGCACTATAAGCGACCAAAACCATAAAATATGCATATTTAAAGCTCCAGAACATGAACCAAGCAAAAAATTCAATAATCCAAAAATCCATCCAACACATGCATCATTTCATGCATGCAACTCAATCATTCATACATATGCCTTCCCAACAACTATTTTTGCTCCAAAACCATCACATGCAACTACAAAATATGTCAAGATCATCAAAATCATCTCAGCCACCTAAAGAATAACCAAATCGCCACCAACACAACCTTCAAATACGAAAATCCTCTAATTCATGCAACAATTGATAATCTCACTCACATGCAACACAATAATTCAACTAACCACTCATCTTAGCTTCTTTTATCTCGATTGCGAACTTTCCAAACGAGAAAGAGAGGAAAAAGAAAAAAAAAGCTTTTGAGCTTCCAACATCCACAAGCTTCACGCCTCTTAACTCAGATTCTCAACCTTCAAATGCTTTGAATCTACTATCCAACAACAATCCTCACACATCAGATGCATTTGGAAAGAAGAAAAAAAAGAAAAGAGTCAAAGTTACTCTCTCTAAATATTCTCTCTCTAAGGTTTGAAAATTACAAACTTATGAAACTAAAATCAATATAGAATCTTATATACCTTTCTCTCTCAGGGTCAATTAGACCTCTGACTATAAACCCTCACAACTTACCAATTTATCTCAGTATATCGTTATATTTTTTTTTATCTATCAAAATTACAATGATAAAAAACCTAACGATTTGTGCATTCTACCTCAATCCTTCACTACTAGACTGATTCTAGTAGTTCTTTCACTTCATCTTCTACCACAAGTTTCAAATAATGTTTTTTCACAATAACCCTCATTATCTTCCATATCATAAATGAACTCATTAAGATATTGATGCAACAAACTTAATCTTGATGTATTTGATAATTCTAATTTGTCAAGTAATCATCCAACTTAATAAATCTAAATTTATTTTTTATGTGATTTCCAATTGTACAACTTGAAAATTTTAATTTTAATTATTTATTCACTATTATACTATTCATAATTATGTTTTTCATTTATAACACGATTTTTTTTATATTTCATGCATCTCACACATTCACACACCTACATATATATATATATATATATATATAATTTAATAATTGTTAGAGAAATTATTCACTTTTCATGTTAGATGCTAACTTTGATAAACAAATCCACTTCTTACAAATGACATCACAAACATGAACAATCTATTATTGCAAAACAAACACATCAATTTTGTTTTCCCTACCAATATATATTATACACGAGAAAAAACAATTATAAAAAAGGCAAAAACACAGAGAAAAATGGAACCATTTAAATAAAAACGAATTAAAGATAAAACTAGGAGTCGTGGATTGTACTCCACTCCAAAGGAAGTATGATGATAATTTCCATCTTATTAATCTGTGGAGAAAAATGATTGAAGTGTGAATGTAATAACAAGAGAGAGAATAAAAGGAAGGAACCAAAACCAATTGAGTTGAGCCAAAATACATAGCATGGATCTTTTAAGCGGACAAATAGAAAGAGGAGAAGAGAGAACATGTAAGAAGGGGTGTAAGAGATTTTTTATTTAATTTAATTTTATATTGTTTTTGGTGATAATATTACATTTAAATTTTATATTGTAAGCAGAGGACGAGGCCAACTCAAACCTTTGGTTAAACCAAAACTAATTCCAAACCAATCCTACGAATGAATCCTAATCCTATGACCGAAGACCCACCACGCGCCCTTGACCACACCAAAGTATTCTATCCTTCGTATTCATAAGTCATAACCATCACATTCATCACTCTCCTCTTCATTTCCTCACCCTTCTTTTGTTTTCTTCTGTTTTTATTTTTGCTCTGTTTCACTTGTTTTAGGGTTTCAAACTCTCCCATTTCTCCCCCCTTCCAATTTCCATACCAATTCAAATCCTCCTTTCATGCCCAACTCGATTTCCTCACCTGATTCCCAGTATTCTCGCTCTAGATTTCGGGTTACGCGATTGATTCCCGATGCACCAATTTCAATTTGATTGGCTTTCCGAGGGTTGGAATCGGCTGTGGATAGCTTAGAATAACTATTTTCCTTTTTTTTTTTTTTTTTTTTAATGTTTTGATGAAAGAGGTGGTGGAGTTGGAGGAGTGTTTAGAGGTTCAGTAGTGAGTGGCTTGTGAAGATTATGATATGATTTAGAAGTAACCCTAGTAGATAGCTGTGTAGGTTCATGGTATTTGGTGATTGATTTTGGAGTGTGATTCTGATTCCGTAGGGTTTTTTGCTCATTTTTTGGGGGTGATTGGAGAAGAAGGGATGGAGAACGGTCACGATGGTAAATTGGCCGAGAAATTCTCGGCCATGACAATTAACCAGCACGGTCAACAACATGTGCATGACCAATCTAACCTCTCTTCTAACAACAATGATAACTTGTATCAGGTCATGAAGGCTGTTGAAGCCGCCGAGGCCACTATTAAGCAACAGGTACTTTGGTTTCAACACCTGCTCTGTTCTAAGTATGATTCTTTGGGTGGTGCTAGTTCGTTATTTTCATGAGGTTTTATGACTAACGTGTATTGCCCGGTGGTCCGAGTTTTCAATGTTTTGAATATTGCTTACTTAACTGTGTTTATGTGTTGTGGTGCTTGCCTGGCGTTTTTTTAAATTTTTTTTTTTATTACTGAAAATCATTTTGGTATTGAAAAGAGAAATAGAATATACTTGAATTTGGGTCCTCGAGACACCAGGGACCCTTCTCATTAGGGATAGAGTGTGACTGGTATTGAAGGTTTTAAATTGCGGTCACAGTCTTTGTTCATCGAGTTCCTTGGTATTGCTGGAATTTGCATATACATGTGGTTGACACAGCTATAATTGCAGTCGGTTAGTGGTTGCTGACAGCCTGAACACCATGCTGTTGCAGCCAAAATTTCATCTTGGACCGTTTTTTGAAACCGTGTTTGTAATTAATAATATGAAATGATATATAAACCTGGTTGGTCGTTCCTCGTTTCTTACCCTCTTCAAGTATGATTGCTGTCACCAATGCGGTTTTAACTTCTATTCTTCTCTTAAGAGGAGAATGTTACAGTCTCTTGCAGTTGCGGTTGTAGGTTCACTTTGGTATAATGAAATGGCGGATTCTTTCATGTCATATCATGTTAGCTAGGATGTTAATGATGCTACATGTTTCTTTCGACAGGTAGAAGAGAATAACCGGCTCAGGTCTGAACTTCTGAGTAAAATTCAGGAACTGCAAAAATATGTAAGTTTTGTATTCTGTGATGGCATCTGCTTGATTTATTGCATATTGTTTCTTTCTATGTTATAATCCAAACGTTCTTCTTTTCGTTTGATTGCTTGGTTGTATACTAATTGCTTTCTGTTTCTCTGCTTTTTGAATCTGAATTTGTTTTTACTTAGGTAGGAGTTTCTAACTGTAGCATTTTTAGCTGAACTAAGGACTCTATTTGGTTTTTAAATGTCCTTGTTCAAGATTCTAGGACAATCGTGGTCTAATTATATTTGGAAATGAGGATGGGAGTGGGACCATAAGGATAGTACCAAGATTGTATATGCGGGCGTGCTCGTGCATGTGTGTGTTTTGGGTAAAAAAGAAATTCATTGACTCAGAAGATAATTACAAGGAGTTAGAGGATAAGTGATCCTCCTTGATGTAAAAAGAAGTCACAAAAACAGAGCAACAAAGAAGAAGGAACTTAAATGGAATAAGTTTCTCGATTCCTCAACATATATTGAGATTGTGTTCTAATTTTATGGATAAGCAGTTCAAATAACAGAAGTAAATTTGATAATGAAAATTTATATAATTAATTAATCAGCTCATTATCTTAATAATGGGCTTATCCTAACCCAGAGAAAGTTGGGATATTCTCTTGGATACAATTGTTTCTTCTCTTACCTTTTCTTGTATGTCTAATCATTTATGGATCCACATTGGCATTCTTATTACACTACAATTATTTTCTTTTTTTGCCCTTGTTGGTGCTTCACTGCTCAAAATTCACTATACTAGAGCATCACTAATGCTAGTTTTGTAGCACTTTGGTAGAATTTTCCTTTGGTAGGTGGTTTGAGCACAAGTTACTTATAATCTCTGAAGCATTTTTACATTTCATACACCCAGCTTGAATCTTATGTGTGACATGACCACCAAAACCCTAATCACTTCCTAAGATGGACCCAAGATGGGCAGTGATGATTTTTGGAGCTTGTGTGGACTTTGGATGATTACTGTTATACACCAAGGCAATAATGAACAAGGGGGCAGAACCTGTTATCATGTGGGAATATTTATTGTGTTTGAAGATGTGCTAATTTCCATGCATATGCAGTAGTGTCATGAAGCATATGAAAGAATTGAATTATGTGCTTCATCTGCAAAATCAAGATGTTTGCGTCATAAAGCGTTGCTTCATGAACTTAGATTTTTAAAACTTTATCCTTCAATCTTTTTGTTGAACATTTTATCCTCTTCCTGATTTATGACATGGGAAAATGTAACATTTTTGTTTAATTAAAGATGAAATATTATTTAAGAGGAGTATTATAGACTCTTATAAACAGTATTTAAAAAGAAAACTAATAAAATCTCATTGTACAATTTACACATTTTGACAGAGGCAAGGAGAAACAGTGGATCAAAATTCACGATTGGTTGCTCCATGGAAGGAGCAGGATCACAGATCTTATGAAGCACATCAGCCAGCTCCATCTATAGGTAATTGAATATATAAGCTCAATGTTACAGGGGTCCCTTTTCTAGCTGATCTAACCAGTAAACTAGTTGTCCACCAATAACAAACTTGAAATGAATGCAGCCAGGAGCAATACCGGTGACCATTCTGAGAATAGTCAAATAAATGGAACATTGAGAGTACAGCCAAACAATCAGTTGCATATAGAGAATACTGGCTACTCTCAGTTGTCTTCACCATCTACAAGGTCAGTCTCTCCAAGCAGGTATGTGATATCAAATATCAATTATAGTGCTAGAGCTACAACGTGATGTCATATTTGTTTTATATATTAGTAGTGTTGAAGAAGGGTTGTGTAATTTTAGAATCTTGTATTTGTCATAGGCATCTACTAGAAGGAGACCTTGATCCCCGATTTAATTCGCCTCGGCAAGGTTTGATGCCAGTGGCTGAAACAAATAATAGTAATAACTTATTGAAGCAGGTACTACCTTCAGTTCTAAGATTTCATATTCAATAAGAGCTCAATATTTCTGGAGTCATATGTGTATCTATTTAGGATCTGGCTATTAAGATTCGGGAACATGAAGAAGAGATCATCCTATTAAGGAAGCATCTTGCTGATTATTCTGTAAAGGTAAAATTATTTTAAGCAGTGATCCATAGATCTTTAGGGTATATTTTGCATCAATGCCCATTTAGGTGACTGATAATCTTTCCATGCTAGGAAGCACAAATACGCAATGAAAAATATCTCTTGGAAAAGCGAATTGCATATATGCGTCTGGTATGCGTGAAATTTTGATGGACTCTTTGTGAATCCCTTAAGCATCTTTATGTTTTGCACTTCTCCTTATATTTAATTGAGTTCATGCTCAGATAAATTATTTGTAATATTGCTGCTAGGCCTTTGATCAGCAGCAACAGGACCTTGTAGATGCTGCATCAAAAGCTTTATCATACCGACAAGACATAATTGAAGAAAATATACGTCTTACATATGCATTACAGGTTATTTTTCCTACATGCTTCCTTGTTATTGGTTTGGTATATATTAAATTTTGCATGGTTGCTATAAGTAATTTTGAACGAGTCTCCACAGGCAGTTGCTTGTTTTAGAATCAATTTTTAAGTTTTTGCATATTCTTTTTTGTGTCAGGATGCACAGCAAGAAAGGTCAACATTTGTTTCATCTTTGCTGCCCCTTCTTGCTGAATACTCCCTGCAGCCTCCTGTTCCCGATGCACAATCAATTGTTAGCAATGTCAAGGTCAGCTTTGTTCTGTTTCCTTTTTGACATAAGTGATGCTGCTACCGCCTACCCTTGTATAAGCAATTACGAGTATAACCTACAAATATGACACTTGGATGTATTTTGACTCTCTCCTTGATGCTACCAAGAAGAGAAACCCTTAAAGCTAAACTATGGTGAAAATAAGACTTGTGAAGGCTAGTCAAAGATATCCATGAATCTCACTGCTCTGTGTAAAGGGGAAGGGGTAGAGGGAGATTGAGAAAGAAGTTGTGGAAATTATTAAGAAGGATCTTATGGTGAATGATATCCCTGAGAATTTTATTTTTAATTGAATCCAATGATGTTGTATGATTTATATAGTTGACCTCACATAGCGAGATAAGGTTTGTGGTTGCATTTATTTTCTCTTCCATTATTTGTGGTGCAAAGAAAGTTTGAATTGTGCACATCCATTTTCTTAAGTAGTTTCATGATATCTTAAGTAGTTAAAATTGCCTAGAAATTGTCTGTTTGTCTTTTTTACTTTCAAATTCTAGGACCTTGGTCATCTTGAATTCACAGTAAATTCTGCTTTTTGGCAGGTTTTGTTTAAACATTTACAGGAAAAACTTCTTCTCACTGAGGTATGTTGGGAAGATACTTGAGTGCTTTGTATTCTTGTATGCACTATGGTTTGATTTGTGGATAATTCAATGAACTTAGTGCTTAAGTTTAGTTGGACTAGATTGTAGATAATGTTGAAATTTTGGAATGCTTACTGTGCTAGAGTAATTGATTTTATTGGTGTTCTTTGTTACAGTCAAAGCTAAAGGAGTCACAATATCAGTTGACACCTTGGCGCTCAGATACAAGCCATGCTAATGTTGCTGTTGCCACACAATCACAATCTCACTTGAGTGGTGCAGCTTTGGCAACATCGGTATGTTCATTTTGTCATTTTGTACCTTTTCCTTGATATGCTTAAATATAATTCTAAATAGTTACATTTTTTTTTTATCAGAATAAAAATGGCCTTGAACTGGTACCTCAGCATATGTACTCCCAAGTAAAGCCTCAGGTCTCTGTTGATGCTCAGGCAGGCACTGATTGGGATCTATTGGGTCGCCACCAGAATGGCATGAATGGTGGTGTAGCAATGGAACCAAGTGTTGATGCCGATGATTTGGGGAGATATTCACCTTTTGCAAGCAGGTGAGCCTGGTCAAATGGAGACTGCTACTGTGAACTGAATGTATTGGTGGGTTCTGTTTTCATGGAATCTTTGTTAAAGTGGTCCTGATGCATGCAATGTTGTTCCCTACCATTTGACTGAAGTGGATAGACTATTTTTTCTAGGCAATCTGTTTGTCACTCTTCTTAACAGGGGAGAGATCTTATTATTTAAACATGGAGACTTGTCTTTTTAAGCTGATCCATGAGATGAAATGCATTTTGTATGGCTCCATCGTTATCTAAATCAATGATATTATCATCATTATTAATTATTATCAGTGAATATGTAGGTTGACTAGAAGTCTAGAACTTACATGCTGTGACATGAATGTATTGGTGGGTTCTGTTTTCATGGAATCTTTGTTAAAGTGGTCCTGATGCATGCAATATCGTTCCCTACCATTTGACTGAAGTGGATAGACTATTCTTTCTAGGCAATCTGTTTGGCACTCTTCTTAACAGAGTAGAGATCTTATTATTTAAACATGGGAGACTTGTCATTTTAAGCTGATCCATGAGATGACATGCATTTTGTATGACTCCATTATTTAAATCAATGATATTGTTGTCATTATTAGTTATTATCAGTGAATATGTAGGTTGATTACAACTAACATAGTGTGACATGGTTGACAAATGGTTAGGGGTTCGATTCTCAGGTTCACATGTATCTGAAAATATCTGCTGGGAGATATTAACCCATTAAATGTATCTCAGTACTTTGAAGGATTAGTCTTTAGCTTTCGGCTGGAGGATACCTGGACTTTACCAATAAATATTGGTTGACTAGATTTTCTATTGTTATCCTTGAAGTAACTGTTTAGAATTCAAGATGGTATTTTAGAGCTTAGCATAGATCTGAACTTGGGCTACCCTAGTGCAAAAATCAGTTCTACAATCTCCATAATCCAGATGCCCAATCCTAGGTGGGAGGTGTGTGTTGAGATTCAGCATCACCTGTAGAATATAGATATGGCCGAAGTAGAACTTATAAATGGTTAAACAATTCTCACTTCAGGAGATGGCTTTTGGGGTTTTGTTAGGCAGTAGGCACAGACCAAATTCAAGACAGGTATTCAATTATTGGGGGTACTTGAATGAAACTTTTTGCCCTTGGGACGGTTATTGATATGTGCATTTAGCTGTCCTGTCAGATATAGACTAATAGACTATAAAATAGGAAATTTAATTCTTGTGTTACTTACTACAATGTTGCCAATTGCCAGCATGTAATGCTTCATAATGCTGTTCCGACGGTAGATCATTGTATATTAATTGTGGAGTTGGCTTTGGTATCAAGGTTTCAAGTTGGCTTAGATAAGGATTATTCTGAAGTCTAGCATGTTGGCTTAGATAATTTTTTCTCTGAAGTCTTGTTTGTAGGGTTTGGTAGCTTAGTTCCTATTATTGATTATCTCTGTTGCCTGTTGGATAAAGTCTACTCCAGAACAAGTTGCTTAACTGATACTGATTTTCAATTGCAATGGGGCCTCAGGAAGGGATACTGTTCTGATTGCATGGGTGTTCCAATATAGATAAAATGAATTCCTGCTTAGTTGAGATAAACTTGTTTATCTACCTTGTCTTATTTCATACCCCCTGGAATCTATGTCTCTCAGCATGTTATTAAAATTTGTTGATTAAAATAGAAATTCTCTCTTGTTTTTTGTCTCTTACAATTTGAGAAGGTCTGTAATCTATTAGCGATTTTTTTAATTAAAAAATGAAAAAATGCTAATTATATGATTTCCCTCTCCATTTATACTTGCTATTCCATCATTTCCTTAAGTTGGCCACCAGGAGGCTGGAAGCATGAATTTTTTAGTTGTGATATTTCAACCAGTAATGGTAACGGTGTGATAAAATTTGACATTCTTTGGGCTGTTGGAAAATGACATCTTTGCTCAAATATACTGGCCATTTCATTTCACAGGAATTCATCAGTCCATGATGCATCCAACCACCTGGTGGTTGCGCAGGGTGATAACCATTCTGCACATTATGGAGAGGAAATGACTAACAAACAGGTCACATTTCGTGAACCCGTGAGCAACAATGAAGTTGATGATCCTGATGGAGATGGAATCCACAGTGAAAGAGAAGCACCTGCTAACTGGGGTTCCGGAAACCCTCCTTATACAACCTCCGTTGATGATCCCAGTTCTTCTTCATATTCACCGTATTTACCACCAGTTCTTGAAGAACCTTCTTCTTCATTTTCCGAGGGTAATAATTAATCACCTTTTAAGCTTTACTATACATTCAGAATCTTCCTGTTGGCTATTCAAAGTTGAATAAATCATGATGCAGCCGCAGATGAAGATCCGTTGCCGGCTATCGAGGGCCTTCAAATTTCAGGAGAAGCCTTTCCTGGAAGGGAACTTCAGGCATGCGGATACTCCATCAATGGCACTACTAGTTGTAATTTTGAGGTGCATTTTATTTGTGTATAATTTCAAACCTGTTTCTTCTTGCTTTTATATCCTTAAAGAGTTTTGACATTATATGATATTAATGTTTGATACTGTCATAAGAATTTGACATGAACTTGTGTCCCTTCTTGTTGGAATGCAGTGGATTCGACATTTGGAAGATGGATCCTTTAATTATATTGATGGTATTGATATACTTCTTAAGATTATGTTCTCCCTTTCTTCTGGTATGTGATGAACTCAACCATGATTTGTCCAAAATATAGGGGCAAAGCAACCAACCTATCTTGTCACTGCTGATGATGTTGATACATTACTTGCCATTGAAGTCCAACCACTGGATAACAGGAAGCGAAAGGTACTGTTTTCCTCTTACTATAATGTCTGTCTTGCACATGTATATGCAAATAATTATCATAATGTGGCTTGTATATAGTATGGGGTTTGCCTGATATGCAACTCATCCCAAAATGCCACCTAGGCAACCCAATAAGGAATTAAGAATTTCAAGTAGAGTCATGGTGGAAATAAACAAGTAATATTACTAATACTTGTGAATGGATAGGGTATTCTGGGACCAGGGTTTGAGCTTTGAGTAGTGACTTATTATAATCTTTATTATTTGTAGTGAATTTCTCTTGCCTGTGAATGTCTGTCTACATGCACTGTAGGTCAAACTACATTGAATTCCTTGTCTGTTTAATTCTCCTTGTTTTATGAGTGCATCTGGTTACAAAAGAGGAGTTATCAAATCTTTGTCTTTCTTTCCAAGAGCATTTTACTTGGCAATGCTCCCAAATCATGGTTGTGGTAGTGGGATTCATGAGAATCTGGCATGTAGAGACATCAAAAACTAATTGGATTAGATTGTCATCGGTTTAGTCATTTAAGGTTTTCGATGTATTTGAGTATGAGAAGTCCCCTGAAAGCTACAAGAACATCAACTTTCATCATATTTACGTGCAAGGGAATGCAAATTACTTTATACATCAATTGACATACAGAAAATCTTTTACCATTGGCATATTAACATCCTGCACTTGAGTAGGTTGAAAATTCTAGTGTATCATACTATCATTTCTCAACATAGCACAGTCAAATCTCTGATAGAAGATCTTATTGAGAATGAAAAGTAGTTAGCAGAGAATAAGCTATATACTTTTCTGAAAACCTTAGTTGTTGTGCATTACACATGGCAATGGGCTTCTAAGAAATTCCTCCTTCATTGAGCATTCGTCATACTCATACCCAAGTACTGTGGATGCAATATGTTGAGTTCTATATTTTGCGTTGGAGGGACATATGGGCAATGTTTCTTGGCAAACATTTAGGTTGAAGACTCAAAAAACAGTACAATCCAGTTTATTTTTTTGTCCATTATGGTTGTTTCATCATGTTTTGGCTAATATGAAATACGGCTGCCAACTTTCCCCATTTCTGTATGAAATATCTGTGCATTTTCTTTATGTACAAAAGAAATTTGAGGAAAGTGAAAAAAAGAAGAGTAATACATTAATTTAGCCCCAAAAATTAAGAACACCGGCCAATTTAGTGCCTAAAATTATGAAAAATGTCATCTTAGTCCATGAAATTATCAAATCATGATCATTTAAATCCCCGAAGTTATCAAATAACAGGTGTTTTAGTCCCTAAAATTATAACAATAAGGACTAAAATGACATTTTTGTAATTCTAGGGGTCATAATTACCGGTCTTTGTTACTTTGTAGATTATTTTGGTTTAACTTGATTTATTATTCAAAATGGGATTGTGGAAGGAGGAGGGATTCGGGGAAGAAGGAAGATGGAAAGTAATGATGAGGCATACCTTTTTGACATGTAAGCATGTTAATTGGATTTTTGGTCCCTTCATTGAAGAAATGGCATTCCATATGCCATCTCATCATTTAAGCGAAGTATTTTAAGTTTTAACAGCAGGAAATAAATAAATTTATTTGAATAAATAGGGACTCAAAATAAATAAATAAATAAATAAATAAATAAATAAATAAATAAATAAATATATA